CTTTAAAGTTAAAATCAAATTTTACACATCATCTGATGCTCTGACTTATGCATAAGATTTTCAGTTCAGCCTCACATCACTTGCCACATTTTGTGCACAGAAAAAAAACGTGATAACTTGCAATTAGAGCGGTGAACTGGCTTCTAATGTGACACTGCTTGAAACTTAGAGAAAATTTAGAGGCCTGAAACATATCTTATTGTTCTATCTGGCATAACATGCAATAGAAATTTTTATATCACCTTCTCTGTTACAACTTGCAGGATATCATGAAAAGGCTACATCAAATTGGATTTTTTTTACGGTATGTAGGACTTTTGATTAGACTGGTGGGCAATTTCTGCAACTTGCTTTCCCTAAGGAAAAATCTCTTTTTTCAGCACTGGGGTACTCTACATCCAGCATTTGTCTGCTTCACAGGAAGCTTTTGTTTCACCCAGAAATGGCTGCCATTTCCCATTGTTCTCAAAAGGAATGAGGCCACCCACTTGATTTTCCTGGCTAGGCTTTCTGTCACTGCCACCAACATGAGCCTGCATCCAGTTTCTGGTGCTTCAGATGAACAACTTGTAGCCTCAGCCCATTGAGAAAAAGAGGCAGCTATCCTGAGAACAAGCAGTTTTGTCCAAAGGAGATTTATGTTAATTTCTCCAGCCACAGTCAAAGAAAACTACAAAATAAACAAAACATTAGTCCTAACTATGTTTTGTTATTGGGAAAAAAAAAAAAAAAGAAGGCAGTAGATCTATTCAATAAGGAAAGAGAAAACAGACTGTCTGAACCTACAGAAAGGTGCTGACCCATGGCATTCTAGTTCCTTCCTAGTCGTTAATTCCTGTAATTGTTGTTTAATCAATCTCACTGACACTGCAGCCTGCGATCAGGGCAAGTGTCAGTTTGGTTAAAGCTGGAAAACCAGTGGGAGAAGCTGCTCAAATCCAGGCCACATCAGGGAGAGAGCTGGGACCTAAGTGCACAGAGGCATTTCACAGGAACAAACATAAATGAATGCTTGAGATACTCTCTTGGTGAAGTTTCATTTATAGAGAGAAAGAAAGAGTATTTAGAGAAGATGGTAATGAAATGATGGAGAGCCAGCAAAGCACTTGTTATCCTGAATCTCAAAAAACCCCAACAGAAATCTCGCCAAACTTAAAAGGAAAAAGGAGTTCTCCCAGCTGAACACAAGAAGAAGGAAAAAGGCTACATGAAATATTGAGCAAGGGGATATTTGCAGTTTGACTTTTATGGCATTCAGCAGAACTGGGCTTGGTGTATGCCCTCATCAGGTAAGCATGACTGCACAGTATCATCAGTGCCTCCATGAGGTGGCAACAAACCTCCACTGACAAGCTGCTCTGGTGAAAAAGTGTAACAGTATTCTGCAAAGTGCTCTGGGTAGGGGTGAGCTTGCAGAACAGAACAGCACTCTCTGGAGACAGAGGGTCACAAAACCTGGTGCCCCCTCTTTTCTGCCAAACTCACAGCTGCTGTCACCAGCAAAGCTGCCCCAATGGGGAATTAGAGCCCTGTTTGCTTTCCCCAGACAGGATATCCCACCAAGTGCACTTAGCACAGCTTATGGTAGGCCTGGATATTCAGATTTTAGTGTTTCCACTCATATGCTCTGGCACAACTTGGGTCAAAACAATCTTACTTACATATTCCAATAGCAAACTTGCCACACATCGAGTCATGAGCTCTGGCCAGTTTTAATCACAAATTCAATTAACCTTAGGTTCCTAAGAGGCACATCAACCTCCTCCTAATAAAAATGCAGACAGTGTTACTGTCAGAGGGATCCTTTTCTCCTGTAGCATGCCGTATGTCCCTAGAGGCAGTCACTGATATCTACAAGTACCTCTCTGGTGATGCCATGAGGGTTTCAGCAAGCTCCAGAGCAGCCCCAGCTGTGAGGTTGTGAATTCACACCTCAGCCCAGGTTAATCTGAAAGTGCAAGACACACTGAACAGTAGGCACTTTAAGATTACCCCACAAATATATCAATCAACTCCACTTTTCCTGGCCTCTAAGAAACAAGCACGTAATTTTTCCCAGGGCTTTGTGAGGATCACAGCCCTGCAGTAATTTAGGATTCCTTCGCTCTGCATAAATTTGACTCTGTAATAGATAAGAACATTTCCTCCACTTGCTGCAAGCTAGCAGAAATCAGTTTATGATGTTCAACAAAATGATGTTCATAGGCTGGTGGCTTTTACTCACCCTGAACACAAGGGCAGTCACAGTAACCATGCCTGTTGTTTAAATGCTTATGTTTAAAAGGTCCTGTAAAATTGAAACAGCAGCTCTGTACCAAATAGATCTACTAGTCAAAGTTGGTCCTGCTTTGGGCAGGCTACTGGAACACTTGACCAGAGCTCCCTTCCAAGCTATATTATTATATGAAAATCAAATCAGAGATGCCTCCATTACAAGGAGATACAGGAAGATTCAGTTTCTATCCTACATCTGGTTCTGGGCCAAGTGATACATACACAGAAAGATGGACTTTCCTGGACTTTCTGAATTACTTCTGGTTTTTTGTCAGATCCATTATTTTTAGAGGACACCAGAAACTGAGTAAGAGAATTTCCTCAGAAGCTACCAGGAAAATGAATGGTCCTCTGCAACCCTTCAGAATCCCCAAGAAGTGCCATCAGCAGCAATTTACGGTTTGTGTCCAAGACAGCATTTATTTTGCTTCCTGCAATCCACAGTAAACAGCCACCAGAAAAAAAAAAAAAAAGGAGTAAGATGTTTGCATATGTTGGAGGTTCCTGTAGTATTGCAAACAGCAGGGCTTTACTCTGGATAGAGATGAAGGGTGCATTAGCCATGTGCCAGCAGCCAGCTTAGGAGAACACGCTCCCAGCATCAGGAGTTTGTCTTGACTAACTCCTAACTGATGAGGGAAAGGGCAAGAGGATGTTACCATTGCCATGCCATCTGCTGCACTTGTTACTCCTTCCTCCCTGTCATCCACTGCCTTGGGTAAACAGGCACTTGAAATTAAACCAGCAAGTGCTGCAGTGTATATATTGTCCTCAGGCAACATGAAAATGGACTCAGGTGTGGTATTCAAACAACAGAAACAATAGCCAGATCTACAAGAAGAGAGAGGAGTCAGCCCAAGCTGCCCTCCCAATGCCATACCCACCTACCCAGCAGGGGAATAGATCTGCTTTGCAAAGCACTCCATCTGTGAGTGATAGCAAAGAGCACCATCTGAAAAACAAAAAGAGCGCTGTCTACAGCGTCCTGGAAGTCAAGTGTGGTTCCTGTGTGTGATCTCAGTGTCAGGTGATGTTCTAGCACAGAATATTGAGCACACCTTAGTCTAAAAGGTGCTAACAAACAAAATCAAGGCTTTTTGAGGACTCCCATTGCCACTTGAACTGTCAGACTCTATATAATACTACTGGTTATAAGCACTTTTCAAGAGTAAAATCAGAAGGTCAGTAAGACTGGTATAGCCTGCAGAGACCCTTTAATACACCCTTCCCTTGAGGGGTCACAAACATCCCCTTTCCACAAAGCCATAACCTCCATGTCTTTCAAGGCTGTACACAATGGCCCAGACCACACTCATACTGAGACTGAACCATAGCAAATACAAGTTTAGGCAAGAATAATCTGCTCTTTGGTGTTAGCATCACGAGTAATGCCTATTTAAATCCAGACATGAAACTTATGTTCATGGCAGTAGGAAGAAGAGCTCATCATAGAATTTTTGCTTTCCAAGACTGTTTTTCCTCAGCTTCACTCTCATGCAGATCACAAAGATCCAAATCTATGCAGATTTTTGCACTTTGCATACTTTACTTCAAGATATATGTCTGCATACCTATACCTCTTCAATGTATCACTGCTTCTTTTTGAAGTGATGACTCCAGCCTCAACCCTGGTCTAGTATTTTATCTCATCCAGCAGTGAACAATTGTAACAGCTGGAATCCTTACAGAAAAATGAAATCCTTTTCTGAACTTTATGAACATAAATGTCAGAACAGCTGCTGTCCACGTGAAGACTGAAATGGCCAAAAGTGGTGCAACCAGATAGGACCAGATAGGTCAATCTTGCATTTACCTGTACTTCATGCTTTTTATTCCCATAATGAGGGACAACTGAAGTCCTAGACACCCAGGCCAACAAACCAGGTAATCCCACGCTGCCTTACTCTTGCAGGAAATGCCTTCCTGATAATAACCACTTCCAAAGCTCCCCACAGAAGCAGCACTGGTCTGACGGGCCTCACCGTGCAGCAATGCCCCGTTCTGGTGACTCGCCACACGTACGAGGCCTCAGTGACCGACGTTTTGCAGATTTCTGCCAACCCCAGAAACGCTGTCCCATGGCCACACGCTGTCCCTCCCTGCTGCAGCTGCTGGCTGCTCTGCCGAGGCGCAGGGCCAGCAGAGGGAGTGCAAGCGCACGCCTCAGCTCTGCCTCCAGTCGCCCGGCTCGCCCTTCTCCTCGCACAGGACAGCTGGCACTGCCAACCCACAGCCAGCACCGACAGCTGCTTCAAATGAAGCCCAGAAAGAAAGCAAAAAAAAAAGCACCTCTTTTAGTATCTGTCAGATGAGTAGGGACAAAAAGAAAAAAAACCCAAACAGAATCAAATGTTACCTCGGGGGCAATGCAAAGCATTTTGCAAATACTTGAACATAACAGAAAAGAATGAGTAAAAAAAATGGAGTGAGACCTGTCAGTGCTTGTAAGAGTGGATAAATAGGATCATCTTTAACATTTATTCTCATTCCAGAAAATAGCAATCCTCCATATACACATTCTTGTCTTTTTTTTAGACCCTTTCTTTGAATCTGATGTCAAAGATACTAATTACAATAAATACTGAAAGAGTACAAGCATACCATTTGCAAAATGATGGTGACATTTTGGTTTGGCATTCCAACACACAAAACAGTAAGGAGTATTTGATGGCCTCTCTCTGGAGGACAGAGTCCCAAAAGGGAACACAGAAGAGAACTGGACTCACCTCATCCAGTTTGCTTTGGTTTCATCTGTCCCATCAATGGATTTGTAGCGGTTGTTCTTATCAACGATCTGTGCAACAAGAGAATGGATGCAGCACATCAACCAGCTTGTCCAGGCAGGAGAAGGTCTACGAATCTCAAATCACTGCTTCAGTTCTAGCCTTGAGTCATGGTGTGAAACTCTATACTGTGAATCTCCACTATCCCAGTACTACAGGCTGCCGACCTGAAGTGCATAGAGGCTACTCTGAACTGACTGAGAGCCATTTTTCTATGTACAAATATCTGTAACTATGGATGCAGCTGACAAAATCATTAACAATCCTGGGGTAAAAAATACTAACTTCCCTTTTGGGACAGGGCTGAGACACACATTTATTTTACAGACAGAAAATTGTGAGGAGCATTTCACATCAGCAGGTCTCAATTTTTTCCCATTAATAACTCAAGTCCTACATTGCAAGTCTCATAATTAACATGAGTTGATCCAGTGATCTCTCTATCTCATATACTAATCAAGTTGTGTAGTATGAGGGGAAAAGAGTTTTGGTGCTCGAATCTGCATGTAGATCAGTTCCTGATGGACTGGATCTTTTTTCTGGCTTCTTGGACACCTCCTCTGCTCAGGCAGGCTGGGAGGGAGTGCTAGGGGCTCATGAGAGAACTCTGCAATCTCTAGATCATCTATCTATACCCTTAAGCTACTAATATTTATGGCAGGCTGATGCTGATGTAGTGCCCATGTGGCCAGCAAAAGACCTTCAGAGAAGGGAGAAGATGGCTAAGGTTTGGCTCCACAAGCCCGTGACTCCCCCAGCTCTGAACTGCATGGCTGAGGAGTCACTTAGTTGGGGAAACTTGTCACTCACCAGCCACGAGAAGAATCCTGCAGACCTGTCCTGGCTAGAGATCTGCCCCTCATAGGGCCCAAAGATGTGACCTTTGGGGATCACCTCGTTCATACAGCGCACGTCGTTCTCCCCACTGGGTTCTTTAACCACCTCCATTCCAGGCGGGATGGTCAGCGCTGCCCGGTCCGGAATGCCAACAGGCACTGGCGTGTCAGACACAAACACCGGGGGGCCATGGTTTGGACACTCATCCACAAAGTACTCCTGGCAGGACTCACAGACTGCAGAGGTGAAGGAAACAGGGGTTAGGAATGGCAGACATGATGCACAGCATTCAGGACAGCTCCCTGTCCTCTCCCTGGCCCAGCTGAGCCCCCTCCCCAGACTGCAGCCTACACACACACAGATGCTCCCTTGTTCTGCCACACCTCTCAACATGGGCTCTGCCCCAACCCACACCTCCCCTACCAACACCTGCACCTGCCTGAGCCCTGGTGCCCTGCATGCATTTGCCACTGATGGCTGAACACACGTGGAAAGGCCCATCACCACCTGCAGAGACAGATGCTGAGGGCTCCCTGCACATCCCTGCTTAGCAGCAAGTCCTCCAGCCAAAAGGTTTGATTCCCCACAAATCAGAGGGCAGCTAAAACAAGCATCCCTGAAAACAAATGCCCTCATCATGTAGCCTTCATTCTGTGCTTGGGAGAGAGACAGCATCCCAGGCACCTGTCATGTCTCCAGACAGAGACGCAGGTCTGCCAGTTGATAATCTGTAGGTATGCCAACATAAATGGCACCAGTTTTCTTTCCAAAATAGGAGGGAAACAGTTGTCATCTGCCCAATGCTCCCTTTGCAGTTTCTGAATTCAAGTCATTGTGTTTTCCAGACTCTCAGAGTTTTCCAATGTCCATTTTCATGTGTCCAGCTTTCATGTTTCCTCCTACCTCCCTACTTCTGCCTAGCCCCTTCAGGGACAAGCTGCTTCTATGCAACAATTTCCCTACCAACCATGCCAGTCTTTTCAGATAGGAATGCAAATTTGTCCTTGGCTTTTTTTCTCCCCCTGCTTCCTACCCCTAACTGACAGGGAAGACCAAAGTCTACACAAGCAGCAGTGGTTCTTTTCCCTCACTCATAAGACACTTACACCAGAAATCCACTTGCTGAAAGCTCTTGGTCATGATTACATCCCGTTTCCCTTTCAGTTTCTTGGGTTCCATCTCCATGGACTGTGGGTCAGGCCTTCCAGAGCTGAGGAGGGAACAACAGATGATGTTAACCTAGCAAGATGTTGGGACTGCAAACAGAAAGAAGCTGAAGCAATGGGGCCTGACCAACTCCTTCAGTCCCACCACTGTAGCAGAGAAATAACTAAACTTGCCACCCACCCTGCCGAAAGCTGCTGTATCAGATCCTTAAGGCTAAAGCCCACAGCAGGAAATGGCTTCAGCTACAGCAGGTGCACATGAGTAGGCAACCATCCCTGTCAAACACCCAAAGGCAGACCTCATAAGGAAGAGCTTTAATAACTTCAAGCAGCTCAAGTATATTCCTCAAAACCACCTTTAAGCTGGGAGGAAGGTGGAGAGAAGGGGTTAGAGCACATCAGACCAAAGCTAGGCCACATACCAAGGCTGTCCATACTCCTGGTCCCGGTGTGGAGAGCAGGCCTCTGTTTTTATCGTCACCATTTCCCCTAAGGAAGCCTGGGTCTGGATCAAACAGTCCTTCAAGTTCTCACTCATGTTCTGAAAAAGAATGAAGGAAGGGAGTAGAAATATGAGCAGCTGAGAAATGACAACCTTGCTCCCCCAGGAACCACAGCCTTCTGCCCCAGGCCAGGATGCAGCCAGTAGATCAGACTCCCTCCTGGCACCAAGAGTTGCCATCACACACCAGAGCACCCACACGTGCACGTGGAAACCTCTTCCTGCACTGGGGAGGGAAGAGCAGTTCACCTGCAGGTCAGGTGAAGAGTGTGAGCCATGGAGAATCTGAAGTATGCTTCACAGAGCCCATGAAAAACACACATGGAATTTCCAATGCACATGGAATTTATGAGTGATGGGTGTGATACGTTATGGGAACATGGAGCACCACTACCTCAGAGCAAGTCTTTGGGGGCAGAAGGACAAGAAAGAGGAATGCAGATTGGGGCATTGAACAGGATCTGCCTACAGACCTTACATATGCCAGTCTCCATCTGGGAACAGAATACAGTGTACTACACACCTGCAGACAGAGCTTTCTATGTGCTCTGGACACCTCTGAGGAACAGAGCAACAGGTAAGTGCCTACAGCACCCTTTAGGACTCCACAAATCATGCTTGTGATGTTCCTTTACAGCAGCCAGAGCTGAGCTGCCACCACCACCCTTCTGGCATGCAAGGCTGCCATAGTAAAAATGCCTCTCCCTCTGCTCAACACAAGAGCCAGGAGACACTTCTCAAAATCATCAATCACTTAATGATGTTTAAGGACAGCAAGCTCCAAAACAATAACACTTCCCCCCCCCTCCCATTGTGGTGTGGTGCTGAAGAGAAAATATACATATGCCAAGTGATAATAATTTGGAATGGATTTAATTTAGATTTTTGGAAGGGCCACTAAGCATAAGAGCATCTCAGCTTGAGAAAAGGAACAAATTAGCGTGCTGCTCATCTCTTCATTTGCATTCATCTTAAGACTTCCTCTAAGGCATACAAACAGTCTGCTCTCAGGTACCACTCCAGATTGGACAGATTTCACAGCTGCTCCCCAAAAATCCCCTGTGACGGCCCCTTCCACGTCCACTGCCCAATGACATGCTCTGTTATGCTGCATACTTGCAGTGCTGACAGAGGGCCTCCACAGCAGAACACTTCTGTCAGGGAATCTGGTGGAAGAGCACATCCCCATCACGGCTTGGTTCAGGGCATTTCTAAATTCATGTTCACAAACCCCTGGAGACAGGAATTTTTCTTATTCCACACATGCTTGTATGGGCCTGAACACCATAGAAATCTGGTCTGCATTTCTGCCCTATTTACCACAAGAAGGAATGCCATTCCCAACCTCTCTGGCTCTACTTTGTGCCAGGGGACAAATGATTTATTTTTCCAATCAAACTTCTCACATGCCAATGTGCAGCCTGAAAGACATTTATCAAGCCTTTATCAAGGAGGAGTGTTACTTAATACTCATACAGTGGTCTGAAAGCAAAGCCCCAGCATAAGTACAACTAGACACAGGAAAACACATGCACTTTTAAGCCTTTACAGGATGTCCAAAACAAGACAGATTTTCTTTCAGAATTGCCACAGCCATTCAGAAGGAAAGCGATAGTAACGCCAAAGTAGGGCTCATTATTTTGGCAGGCTGAGTCCCTTGTCTGCGCTCTCTGGAGCAAGAGGAAAGCTCTGCAGTCCTGTACCTATTCACCAGCCAGTGCTGCAATCAGGGCCTACCTGGCCTTCTCAGAGAAGAAAAAGTCTTTTCTGCAAAATCTGCAGTAAAGCAGCTGAAGAGGAAGAAAGCTTGGGGAGTGGGAAAACGTTAAAGACAAGAAGAGATAGGTGCTGCCTCAGAGCTGCTTAGCTGTGGGGCCGGCACTGTCACAGGAAAGGTGGATGCTGCCTGTAGGGCAGATGCTCTCAGTCAGAACAACCACCTGTGTTGGAAGCCTGGCAGACAGGACACCTGAAGTTAAAACACCCATATCCCCCAATCATTCAGTAGGAAGAGATGCATATATTTGTTTCTGAAGATAAAATGACTTTTCCTTTCCCACTCTTGCCCCATGGAGTCTTAGAGAGTGAGAGAAACCCTATGATGATACAGTCTGACCTCCTGCCAAAGAAGGTCACCGTGCTTCCTTCAGCTCTGGTTAAACTACTGCATACCTCCAAATAAAGGGGAAAAAAGAAGAAAAAACACTGTGTTTACTTCACACATGAAGCTCTGTGTTTTACTGTATAGCACATTATGCAGCCTGCCCCTCTCCTGGTCCTCCCTGGACTCCCTCCTACTTATCAGCAACATTCCTGCGCAGCACACTGGCAGGAGCAGCACCTTGCACTGAGATAACGCCCTCCCTGCCCCTGCTCAGGATTGCCGTGCTCGTGTCCAAGTGCTGCATTTACTTTCTGGTCACCGTGCCCAGCTGGGGTTCTGTTTTCAGCTGGGGCTCTGTTTTCAGTGAACCACCATGCTGCTGTAAGAGCCCTTGCTCCTGCAGGAGCTCCCAGGCCACCATGCATCCTGCCAGCCCTCCCACATGCTCTGAGAGTAGGTGACTGCTTCACACAACTCCTTGCTGTTCCACCCAGCACACACGCACCACCCAAGTTCACCACTAACTCACCTCTTTTCACTACTTGTAACTTGCTCAGATTTTATGTTGCCCACAAACACAATCCAAATTAACTTTGTGCTTTTTTTCCCAGGACACCAACAATCTTAGAACCAAGAGAATCATTTAGGCTGCAAATGACCTCTAAGATCATCATGTCCAACATAAATCTAGCTCTGCCAAGTCCACTACTAAATCATAGAATCATTTAGGCTGAAAACGACCTTTAAAATCATAAAGTCCAACCATAAACTTAGCACTGCCAAGTCCACCACTAAACCATATCCCTAAGTGCCATAGCTACATGTCTTTTAAATAAGTCCCAGAGTTGGGGACTCAACTACTTCTCTGGGCAATTTATTTTAACGCTTGATAACTCTTTTGTAATTTCCAATCTAAACTTACCCTGGTGCAACCTGGAGGCATTTCCTCTCATCCTATCACTTGTTTATAGGGAGAAGAGACCGATTTCTGCCTCTTGATTAGCATTGAACCAAAAATCCAAAAATTCCCAGCTGAGACTACTACACTACCAGGAATGGGGCTCCTTTTGTTGTCACACTGTGACCCTTTATTTAGTCAGGTTTCCTTTCATGTACTGAATCACAGAATGGCTTGGGTTGAAAGGGACCTTAAAGATCATCTACTTCCAATACCACTGCAGAGAGAGCTTCCATTAGACCAAGCTGCTCAAAGTATCATCCAATTTGGCCTTGAACATTTCCAGGGATGGGCCAGCCACAGCTTCTCTGTGTTCCAGTGCCACAACACCCTGACAGTAAATAACTTTTTTCTAATATCTAATCTAAATCTACCCTCTTTCAGTTTAAAGCCATTCCATTTCCCCTTGTACTGCTGCCAGAAGCCCAGTCAGTCTGTCCCTAGCTTTCTTAAAAGTTCCCTTCAAGTACTGAAAGGCAGCAATCAGGTCTCCCTGGAGCCTTCTCTTCTCCAGGCTGAACAATCCCAAGTCTCTAAGCCTGTCTTCACAGGAGGGGTGCTCCAGCCCTCTGATCATCTTCATGGCCCTCCCTCCTCTGGCCTCACTCCAGTGCGTGTGTGACACAATGAATCATCCCACCTATTTATTCCCGTGACTTGTTGCACAATTTCAGTGCATTAAACATGCCAGACTTACCAACAGTTCTACCTTTAGTAAAATTATAGCAACACCAGAAAATCATATTAGGTTAGAAAAGAACTATTAAAAAAAAAACCTGTACAGACTGACTATTACAATTAATGCCCCTTAACTCATGACCAATCTGATCCATATCAGCTGTTATGTTATTTTACTGGAAGTGAACATCAGACTGCAGTTAGCCTAGTTTAATTTGCCCAGTTAAACTTAACATTGGCCTACGTGCTTAAGAGTAACAGACAACATTTTTTTAAAGTCTAACTCATTATACATGCTTTCATTTATTTTTTTTAAATTATTTTAAAATTAGCATTTATGGCTCAGAGAGCACTGCTCAGCCAGGCCTTTTAAAATCCCTGGACGCAAGTAAGCCAGAATAGCAAACTTTAAAATATACTGCTGTAATAGCTGCTATTTGCTAATTGTAGCCACTGCTACAACACAGAGCATTACACTGCTGCTGTAACTGGTAACACCTTCTAGCTTTTCTTCCAGGAGAAAAAATATGACATTTCTCCAGTTCCAGACCTCAGCAGATGACCGTGCTTTTAGGACTCTTAGCTTCTGATGTATTCAAAGTGGTGTTTAATTTTTCTCAATTTCACTGCTCATTAGTTTATCTTTATTGTCATTTCTCCACCCCCTTTAGCTTTCTACAGCTGTAAGAGTCTAGTTCACATTCTGCAGTTTTCACTCCTTCCACTCCATTGTTTTGGGGTTTTCTTGACATTTTTTATAACTGTGTTTGTTCTAGCACCTATATGTGAAGAGCCTCTGAAGATTTCAGATGATGTGGAGAAGTGCCATGTAAGCGCAAGAACAGCAGGCTCCTTGTTTACTGCTGAGGGTATTCCCAGGGCGTACTTGGCCTCACCTGTGCATGTCCCTGTGCCCACCAGGACATTTAGCCTTCCCAACGTTCAGTGAGCACACAGCCTTCAGCAACATCCTAGCAGCATGTCAGTAAGGCCAATCAATCCCTGGTCAGAGAGATGCTGTGATGACCCAGGTGCTGCCTACACACAACATCAAGTGCTTTGTGCACAGGCAGTTGTGCACAGTGGTCCTTGGCAGATACAGGACACCAGTGTGACTGCTACAAATCCCAAGAGGCATCCCTGGATCACCCCTGGGTTCACAGGCAGTGCCACATAAGCCCTCCTGTTTTCTTTACAAAGCAGGCATATTTCTGGATGACACACATTAAGATCTCCAGTGGCTCTGCCATATTGCTCAAAATCAGGGAAGTAGAAAACACAAGAACATCTGAACTATTA